AACCACCTGGCCATGTCCGCCCTTTCAGCCGGAGGGGCATTATATGTGACGGTCAATCCCACTCTTCGTTGGTAAAAGAGTTGGCGATGGGTGGTGATGACTACCTGTCTTTCCTCTAGTCTTTCACTATTAAACTAGGGACTGCTAGCACAGATAGTCCTCGTGTAGCTTTGCACGAAATTCAAACCAAACTAAACCATCTACCGCCGACTCTAATTTGGAACTATGGATAAAAGGGAAGGAAGCTAGTCAGCAGCGCCCTACCATCCACGCTAAGAGATTGACTGTCACTCTTACAACGCACCCACGGTTTAAGGTGTGGTAAATATTTTGTAATGTCAAATGGATTCAAGCCCGGTTCATAGCACTGATATCTAGAAATCTACCACAAGGCCAACCCGTGCCCAAATAATAATAACTCTGCATTATAACGTCACCTGATTCTGATGTAATGTTCATTAAAAACTGAACCTTAATTCAGATTGATAAGGGAAGTCTTAGTCATCAGTGTGTTTGCGTCACTCCATTCCCATGCTTCATCTCTACGGATAATTTCCCACTTTTCATTGTCAAACCAGGTTACAAAAATTACCTGTAGACTTAGTGCCATTCAATACAATAGTTTCCGTTTTCTTTCAACATTTAGGAGCAGTTTCTATTTTCTAAAGATTTTTGTTTGCAATTATTGGCAATATGCCCTTTTAAACACCCATTGTTTTGTGGTTTACTTCTTTTCTGGGTGATCAATTGTCTAATTAATACTTTGAGTTCTTCTAGACCTCAATCAAAGGAGGTTGGTGTTTCCATGCTTCTTGATCTCACAATTTCATAATTCCTGATTGTGCTTTTAGTTCTTTGTCTGCAATTTATTCTAGTTCCACTGCCAACTGGTGAGCTTCCTATAAAAATGCACATCTACTTTGCTTTGGCCAAATCACATATCCTTATTCACTACGGTTCCTCTGTCAAGTGCTAACAAATCTATCACTTCATATGTAGTATCTGGATAATCTTCAGTAAGTTCAAATAAGATCTCGATCTTGCTTTCTACTCTGTTCCTTAATTTTGCTACATAAACATTCTTTCTGATGTCCATTAATACCTTTTCACGACTCTCCGCTCAAATGTTGTTTCATGTCGTTAAAACTGGTCCTTCTAAATGAGCAGTAAAATGTTGTTCACTATTCCATCCATTCGTTTTGGAAGTGGTTTCAATCTGTACCTTATAATTCTTCCATGGGACTTTTCCATCATGTTCTGTTTGTTTCTCAATTGGACAGTGTATGAACTGCCATGTTACGTACCATAGATTGATGAAAAACTGATATGACTGGAGCGGTCCATGATGATCCGACAGTTAGAGATGGCACAGCAATAGCACTAAAAGGTGTAGACCAGACGGGTTCTCCTGCTCTCCATGAAAAATCATCTTTCAAATAACTTTTGGTGGCGACAAAGAGATGTACAAAAATTCATCGTAATTGGAATTACACCTTTTTAAATACAAAATATCATCTTTCACCATTTCTGAATAATATAAGTTATGAAAGTTAACCTTTCACATTTTGTTGGTCATTAAAGGTCACCTTTCATCTTTTATAAACCAAAAAGATACACGTTCACCTTTTTTTACCTTTTAATTGTATCCTTAAAAAAAGGGTTATAGTTTACCTTACCGCCACCTTATAATAACCGGCGTACATGCCAACAGTAGACAGTTTCATGCTCCTCCTTTAAAAGCCCTACATTTTTTAGTTAAATATTTATTCTGTTTATTGAAGGTATTGTATATTCAGGTGAACTAAATTTAAATTTGAGCTGGTTAATAAGAAATTCGCTCAAGATATAGATTACGAGTTAATACTAGTGGGTTTACGACGTGGTGGGAATATTTTGCCTAGCGTCTGAAGGATGTTATCATGCAAGTGTGGTCCATGGTCTTGGTCCCCTGGAAATTGTTTGAAATTAGGTATCTAATTGGTGCGTAAGAAATATCTCCACTAGTTTATGTGCTACGTCTTTCATTTTTTTAAATAATATTTTTACATTGCTTTTGAAATTAAAAATAGTTAACAGTACCGCTTATTATCACAACAGTTTCAACATATAATTCATTTTAAAAAACATGTTGACATAAAGCCATTTATAAATGAAAGTGATTATACTCATAAGGTATGAATATAAACACACTATTAAAACGTATTTTATGTAGCTCTCCCCCTTCTATGGGTATTGTAAATCATAATAAATGTGTACAAGAGTTCGTCTTTACTAAAAAGCAAAAATGTTTTCAGATAAGGAATATTTTAAGACAATCCATACGTGCACTTGACATTAGGCTATAGAACTAGTACTGAGTAGCCTATTGATGTTCACTTCTAAATTCATGGAAAGACAGTCCCACATAATGATAAGAAAAGACAATAAAATATAATATAATCATTATCAAAAAAGGTCAAATATGAGGTCGAGTATCTATACGAGTATGTCTTACACTACTGAATGCTAGAACTCTTACAAGATGATCGAGCTTTACTAATATGTACGACTCAAATACAGACTGCCAAATACATAAGGTTTCTTAGGTTCGAAGAAACCTCGTAGTTACCCTACACAGCATTCGTTATGACGTATCTGGTCATTCTCATCACATATAGGTGTGACCGTAACCCCTAGATATCACCTAAACACTGTTGTTGCCACCGCTACACAAGGTCAAATTAAGCAATGTGTTCGATGGGCGGTAACAAGTATTACCTACTTCGAGAACAATAAAGGTAACTTGAAATTAGATCATCTCGACCAAGTGTTACTACAAGCAAATAGAAACACATTGTATATTCATATATCATAAATTTAACTATTTCCTGATGATAACCCGATACTATGGATCGAAACGTTGTGATAATTAAAATCCGAATTTCCCTACTACCAAACTTCCTGTTATTGTATTTATGAATTGGTTAATTAGTAGGTTCGTAACAAAGCATTGAATAAAAGTTCGGAAATGTGTTCGGTTTTATAACCATAGCTTAGAATGTTCACTCAATGGATTCATCGCCACCCTTAACTTGCAGAATTATCATACCAAGCTTAAATTAATATTGGTGTCCTTTATCTATTGTA